AAAATAACGCTGAAAACCGATAAAAACCCTGAAAACTATACATTTCACACCTGAGCCTCAACTCTCGCGGCCCGGTACCAAACGACTCACCGACCAGTACCGGTCCGAGGCCCAGGGGTTGGGGACCGCTGCTTTAGGTAAAAGGCTTAACTAATCTAGCAGTAAATTGTTCTTTTAGTCTGGACTGTATATAAAAGATGGACATAGGTAATGTAACATCACCAACTGGTTAATGGACTCTGGTTTTAACCTTAAATTGGTCATTTTGATCATCACCACCTCGGTTTATTGAAACCAAGCATGATAACGAGGGATACTTCTACCAAGGATACCTTGGCTGAGCTACGACGTGAAGGGATTTTGCAGTGATACCAGACTGACTGAAAAAAGCAACATATCAGACTATTAATTAAATAAATGGTTGTTTGCATGTGAATGGCTTCAGTCTGTACCATAAAGAAAGATATGTTTTTAGGTTTTTTAGGATCAGTTGTTTTGCAACAGTTTGAAAGGTTAAGTTGGAAGGTAACTTATAGGTCTATAATTTTCAAAATAAACCCAAAACCTTCAGTTTAGTTCAGTTTTATTTATATAAAGCCGGTTCACAACAATAGTCACCTCAAAGTGCTGTATACTGTGAGGTAAAGCTCCTACAGAATTAGAAAGAAAACCTCAACAATCAGACAGTTTCATAGTGCAACACTTGGCTACTGTGAGAAAGAAGAACTCCCTCTCCACAGGAAGAGGCTTCCAGCTGAACCATGCTCAGGGACGGGCAGCCATCTGCCACCACTGGTTGACATAAAGAGACAGGAAAAAACACACACGGTTGGCAGAAGATAAAATCTGATGATATCCAGTAGTAGTAATATAAACACATGGAGAATGAAATAGGTGTGGAGAAGAAAAACCTAGTGCGTCATGGGAAGTCACTGAGCATGGCTGAATGGATGGATGGCAGCATAACTACGGGATGGTCTAGGGTCATTATATCCAGCCCTAACTATATGCTTTATCAAACATGGAAAGTTTGAAGGCTATTCTTTAGAAGGCAGACTCTCAGAGAGGGCGTTTGTCTCCTGAAACCAAACCCGGAGCTGATAGCTGAGTGCTCTGCCTCCCATTCCACTTTTAGAAATTCTTGGAAACACAAGCAGTCTGAGAGTGAAGTGTTGTGTTGGGCTGATAAATGGGTCTTTAAGATACGATGGGGCCTATTGTATGTGACGAGATGGATTGCAGAAGTCAAACCTGCCGCTGAGACCATAATCTGGTGTTCAGTGAGCGTCATTTTCTCTTATTTATAAACGGACTACTTCCTGCACCAGACTGATCAGCCCTTGCTTGCAGATAGAAAGAATGCAGGTTTATGCATTGCTTTTTAAAAACTGTGCATGTCAATTTTTCTTTTAGTAAGTCTTCATTTTCTTTGTGCCCTCATACTTCGTAACCTGGTTTTTACAACAGTTTTATTTGCGTGCCTGATGTTGGATCGTCCTGATTGAAAGCACTTGGCGGGTCTCTCTGGAAAAAGAGGTCACCAGCCTCAGTGGAACCTGGTTAAATAAAAAGCTACTGTGCTTTTGTGACATTATCCAATTTTCCGGCCAAAAGCTTGAGATAACGTAAACATTAAAGCTTCTTTAAAACCCTGACCCTTCTCCACAAATCTGTTTCTAATTCTGTTCCTTCTCACCAACAGCTCGCTGCACTAAGGAGTGCGTCCATGGCCGGTGTGTCGCTCCAGATCGCTGCCAGTGCGAGGGAGGCTGGCGAGGAGACGACTGCTCCAGCGGTATGAATCAGCCTTCCTCTCGCTTACAGACATTTCCTCACTCTCGTCTCTTCTCTCATTTGCTGTTTCTCCCGTTGCTTTCGTCTCTTTCCCTTTCCCTTCAGCTCCACAGAAAAAACACACTTCACATTCACAACAGGAAATGAGCAATGGCCATTAGTCAAGTGGCTGATCTTCACATACACCTCTCCATCACACACTGAAGCCTCTCCAATGGAAACGGCGAGGGAGCATTAGCGCATGCACAGCAGTGACTCATTTCTATCAGACTCAGTCCAGAACCCAGTTTACTAGTCCACAAGGACGCTGAGCTGAACCTCCAACGTTCGTTCACGGTTACTGACAAAAAAAGAAGAAGCAATGTCAAATCAGCTTTTCTTAAAAAAGCAGGAATAAAACAATCATTGTCTACAAACACAAGCAGTGAAGAGGTGGTGAGTTAAGTCCTGTTTCATGCACAGAAAGGAGTCGATAAAGAAGAGCTAAGGCTGATCCTGCTGCACTTTTTGGCTCCTGTTACAGAACTGAAGTCAGCAGAAATGGTTATATAACCACTGAGAGTCGTGAATCTAACCCTGTTTGCCTTTTTTGAAATCTTTTTAAATTTGATCATCCAAACAGTGGAGTGTAAACTCAGAGCTGCATTTTTAAGGGGCTCCTGTTTCCCCCGTTTTCCAGCCCCATTTCATCGCACTCAGCTGGGTCAACAGTACACAGCCCCCCTCTTCTGTTTTCCCCCATTCGTTTGCAGAGAGCAGGAATTAGCTTTAGCGGGTAGCGGTTGATGCCTTGACAGTGGGATGATGGGAAGAGGAAATGGAAAATGTTACCCCACTCTCCTTCTTTTGCATGGCTCACTTCTCTCTGTCTCTTCTTACACCACCCTGCTACCCTAACCCACACTTTAAGTTTCTTCTTTTCTCCTCTTCCTCTCCTTTTTCTTCTTGGCTCCTGTAACGGAGTCTTTCTTGGCAGAATATGACCCCACACTTCCTGGATGCCTGTGTGTTGAGCTAGTTAGCTGTGGGAAAGAGGAGAGGGGCCTAATGTTTTCATACTGAAAACATTCTGTTTGGTCATGAATAT